CCAGGGGCAGTGGGGGTGGGGGGTGGGCACAAGGGGTGAAGGGAGTCATATATATGGTGATGGACAAACAAAAATGTACAACCCAAAATTTCACAATGTTAGAAACCATTAAAACATCAATTAAAAAAAAAAAAGATTTCCCACTAATAATAAAATTCATATGAAATATATTCTTTTTAATCAATATTAACAGATCTAATTTGTTTATTACAGTGGCAGAAATTCAGTTATTTAGTGTTGCTTACATGAAACTGGAAAAGATATCATTCCAGAGGGAAACATCGGTTACAAAAATTAAAATTGGTGTAATAAACCTATTCTTAAAACATCCTAGTATCATAAGTCCTGATATTTAACTACAAAAAAGATGCTCAAACTACTAGTCAAGAATTCTTATGTTAAGTGTTTTAGGAGAAGCAGCCAAGTCTTATCCTTCAAATCATTATCAATATATACTCAGATACCATGACTTTCACTGGCCTAGTGGATGGTTACATTATTTTGTGTATGGAAAAGTCATCTTAACTCTAGAATCAAGTCTAAATAACATTACCAAGACCCTCATAAGAAGATCAAGTACAGCTAATAATAAACTTATGAAGACAGAAACGTGAATAAGAACCTAATAAAAATGTAATTAAACAAATGGCGTCGATATTTTAGAAAATGATTTAGAATATGTTTAAGTGCAAGTTTGAATGTAACTTTTTTACTCACTGTTGGGAATGTTTCATCTGCAGTTTATAGTTGTGAAACATTCAAAAGAATCTTCCATATTAATTTGAAATTACAATATAAATTCCTAAGGGAATTTTATTACTCAAATCACAAATGATGTTTGAAGTCTTACAAAAAAGCAGTTTCTAAGTTGCAGATTTTAGATATGTGAGTTTTAATAAACAATTTTTAAAAGTACAAATGGTTTACGGGAGTCCCTCCATGCAGAAAATCTCTTGAACTTACACGTTTTAATAAAAAGAAAGAACTGTGGTGAGAAGAAGACCATGTTGTTGAGCCCCTGCTGTACGCTGTGGCCACTTGATATGAGGGCCCATTGAACACGAACTGTCGTGTGTGGGGAAGGATGCTGACTAACATTCACAGACTATGTCACCTCACCCACCTGACTAGTGAGAGCCTCCCAATATATGCATGTTTGGATATAATTGTGTACATATGTGTGAACATAAAGGGTTTAGGACATCTTCTAAAGAAATTCTATGACTTTGAAGGTTCAATAAAATATGAGAGTCTCTCAGCCTCCTCCACAAACCCGGTGACCTCAAAATGCATTTTTTATCCCTCAAAGCCTACAAGTGCTTAGGGCTAATGTGAGCCTGTGCAACTATACAGTTTTTGAGGCTAGACATTTGTGTTTACTCCAAACTGATTCCGTCCATTTTTTCCCCAAGACAAAAGTTACTATTCCTGCATCCTTTCTCCAACTTGTCTACCTGTAAAACTCGTTCACTCATGACCTCCACCTTGCAGATCCTCAATTCCTTTGCTCTCAGAGAAAGAGATGAGTTAAAGGTGATCGATTGGGATCCTCACCCTTGCATCTTTCAAGTCTTTGATGAAAACACTAATCTCTGCACTTCCCCCAGGGATGTGATATTGCATTTTGTTTACTATCTTAGCAGAGGATGTCTAAGGGGAGCAATTTCAGGGACTTCTACTTGAGCCTTCCAACAGTAATAATGCTCATTCCAAGGGTCAAGGAGGAGGAACTAGAATGAGGATTCTGTTTTATTCTGTATGTCTATGCCCTATGTGATTTCTGGATCTGGGTAAATAGGATCAGCTATATTTCTGGTACCATTGCCTATACCAAGAGATGCACTCAGGCCAAAATTATCTTTCACATTGTTTCCATGAGATCCACTGGTGAGTGTGTACCTCTGGTGTTTTTCCATGTCTGGAGATTAGTGTCAGTTCAGAGCCAGTATCTAATAACCCCCAGAAGACTTGAGTACTTCTCCTTTCCCAATGTAGGATTACCCTCATAAATGGCTACAAGCCATCCACAAGAGGGCTTTGAGGAAGATATACAGTGTACACCTTGGTCTAGTTTCAGGATTCTTCCTTAAAGGGACCATGCCTCCCCATCAGTCTATGGCTTCAGTGGCTGTAAACTAACTTAGGTCAGAGAATTATGTAAGAGGCTGTATTTCCCTACTAGAACATCTTGAGCTAGTTTTGTCCAAGTAAAAATGGTTTTTGTTTATAAGAAAAATAGCACCTTGGTTGGATTCCCATCTCCTTCATCTTTAGGAACCACCCAATCCAAGAGATGTTGCCACAAATGTCTGGACAACAAAATACTTGGTTAGCGTCTAGAGTTTGTGGTGTATAGGGGTAATTGTTTGTATCTCATCTCTGACATATGCAGTGCAATCAGCTTTCTGGCTGCCTGTTTGTTTTTTCACAGGTTTAAATTTCAGCAGAAGCCAACTCACCACATGCTATTTATAAGCTCTGTTTGCTCATGCCTCTGTGCCACAGAAAGCCGATCTCTCAATGTCTTCCCTTCATTCCTCCTTCATTCCATGATGCCATTGGTGATCAGTTAAGTTGGATGTCACTAAATACCATAGATTTCCAGGGTCCCATTTCCCACTGCAATGGGTTTATAAGTCTAATCTTCAAATATGTGAACAATCCAATTCCATTTGACTGTTTATCTTCCGAGACTACTTCCAGGATCAGTATCAATTATGAACCTGGCAGGTAGCAGATTGCTAGTTAAACTGGTTAATTTGGGAAGGGATTAATAAAGGGATTATTACAAAGGAACGTGTGTGGCGTGGGGAATTCCCAAAGAAAAGGATGATAAACCTAGGACCACTAACTTCTGAGAGTTGTTCTTTCCCTATCCCTAAAGGTGCAAGAAGAGAGAGACGTTGTGAGCACTGGAGGGGGAGCTT